TTGTTATTGCTCGATTGTTGCACTTGGGCCATTTTTGGGGCAAACTATCTTACTAACTATTAGTTAGTAAGATAAAAGACTGTATCCCTTAACAAACTGCATGAATTAAATAAGTGTAAAAATATGTACTAGAATTTAAGGTTACATGGTTCTGAACTATACACTGTTAATGTTATACTCATTTTAAATACCAAAATAGTCGCACAATGTTATAGTGCACTTTTGCGCTTGGGCCATTTTTGGGGCAAAATATCTTACTAATTAAACAATTTATCCCTTTGACAAACTGCATAACTGCAATCAGCACAAAAAGTTGTCTTAGAATGAAAGGTTTCATGGCTCTAGACCATTCACAGATAATATTATGCTCATTTGAAATCAATCGTAACACAATTTTATTGCACAATTCTTGCACTTGGGCCATTTTTGGGGCATAATATCTTACTAATTAAACAATTTATCCCTTTAACAGACTGCATAACTGAAATCAACACAAAAAGTTGTCCTAGAATGAAAGGTTTCACGGCTCTAGACTGTACACAGATAATATTATGCTCATTTGAAATCAACAGTAAATACCATTTTATTGCGCAATTCTTGCACTTGGGCCATTTTTGGGGGGACATATCTTACTAATGAAACACTATATACCTTAACGAACTGCATACCTGAAATAAGCATATAAAGTTGTTTTAGAAATATAAGTTTCAAGGGTTTAGGCAGATTATTTTTAAAATTATCGTTATTCAAAAATTAATTTTATCACATTTACGCACTGATACTGTCGCAAATTAAAAAATATACCCCTTTTCAAATCGCTTTTTAAACATGAAAGGATAAAGACACCAAGCTGATATTTGGAACATCTGATCATCATATATAAATTAATTAATGGTGCAAGTTTTAACAACAAGCGTACTTGCCCACAGGGTCAAAGGTCACCGTGAAAATGAGGCATTTTTGTGCATTTTTTGTCCCGAATGACCTTTTGACCTACGATTACCCCCTAAAATGATGAGTTAAAAATCCGGAATTTTTTGTGTTGAAACATTTCCAAGTACATATTAATAATTTGTTGCATAAGACCCATTTAATAACTGATTTGGGTATTTTAATTTGGTCTAAAAATGGAAGAAAAATTACGTAACCAAATAACTTAGGGTGTTTACGAACCAATATTTTCGTAACGGGGTCCGGTATATCAAAAGTCATGTCATATTCCTGTTCTACAGCCAAAAGTTAGTCTAGATATCAATTTTCAGTTAATTATCTTTATTCTATTTGAAGATATGGCTAATTGAAAATGCAACTTTACAAACATGTCATAATTGATAGCTAAAAAGGGGTATGACCCTAAAATTTCAAATGGCCGTAACTTCTAAATGACTTGGAATTGGCAAGTCAAATTTTGGGTTTGTTCGTCAGACATGTTGGTGCACATTATATCCGATTTTCAAGAAAATCTGAGACGGTACCCAGCCATGATTTTCTGAAAATTTGTTGAGTTGGCACGGAATGACCCAGCTTCTTAAACACACCCAGTGAGATGTGTAGGCTTGGAACTGACACCTATAAAAAGGTAAATTCAGTATACTTCAATGATAAAAAAATCATGTAATGCATCTGATACCTACCTAATTATTTATGAGGACATTACTTACTTGGTTGATTTCAACATCTACCATGGTTTCTCTTACAACACTTCGAGAAATGTTCTCCGAATCTGTCATACCACCTCGTTGAAAACATTTAAAATCCTCAGCAAGTGTCTGTAATGTCCTGTGTTCCCTTGATGGATCACCTCTCTCTATCTCATCTTTGGTGAGATTACAAAACAGACAGCAATACCGTCCTAAAATAAACAATTATTTTTCAAAGAGTTTTTGTATATACAGTACAATATGGTGTTTATACAAAATATGATGAATAAGCATAAATGCTAAAATATTAGTATTTATTATTATTAATAATATATTATTATTATTATAAATCATAGCCATAACATACAAACGTTGCGTTATGACACTTACCATTTGGTCCATTGAGCCCATACATCCTCGTAAGGAACTCGTAATCGCCAAAAAAAAAATAGTCTAATGCGATGACCCCTTAAATAGAAAATTTGTTTTTCATATTAAATTGCATACATTTTTTTTTCCAAGAAGATAAAGATAGATTTGATAAGGCAAAAGAAATTCAAGGCATCGAGAAACAGAAGTGGCTGCAAGATACAGGGAAAGTGTTAGGACATCCAGGAGAATGTGATATGTAAGTATATGATTTTTAATCTAAAAAGCATTCTTACCTCCAGGTATCATCATCTAACTTTTTGGTATCATCGAAGACATCAAGGAAGGTACTTGCAATGTTAATAGCATAGTGAAGGCCCTCGAAACATCAGCACGACGATGATATTGTGAAGGGCGTTTGGCTTGCTCAGACTACAAATTTGAATTTCAAACTTTGTGCTACCGCACCCCCCTTCCCCTTATCACCGCCGGCCTTTATCCAAACTTATCATATCATATCATATCATATCATTTATTTCGCCTCAGTTAAAATTACAAAAATTACAAACAAAGACATTGCACAAACAAAGGTAAATCAATGAGGCAGGATTGCCTAAATGTTATAAATAAAATAACAGTCGAGAGGCTCTCCACAAAGAAATACCATACACAAAGAAGTAACATGAAAGTTAAAATTTAAAAATCAGTATAAAAAGTTACGTTGCATTATTAAAATTTAAATATATAAAAATTCCAATCCTTTAAGTATTTTTAAAACAGTAAAATTGAGATAAAATATTGGTAAAAATTGCATTTTATTTCATTTAAAACATTAGGCTAGGTCAGTAAGGTATTTTTTTAAGTTATATTTAAAAATATTATAATTAGTTAATAATAATTGATCACCGAGATCCACAGGCAGGCCTCTGAAAAGTCTGACAAACGAATTAAAAACAGAATGATAAAAGCTGTCAGTCCGAGCGATGAAATTATTACGTAACTTAAGATGGTCAGCGTGTCTGGAATTTACAGAAATATATTTAAAATCATCCAAATCATACATGTTATATAAACATTTGGCTACAAAATTAATACAAAAATAGTCAATACGATTACTAATGGAAATGAGATTAAGACGCTTTAAACGTTCAGAGTACGGGCTATTGCCTGTGGATCTCGGAAAGCAGATACGTGTAACTCGTCTTTGAACGGACTCAAGAGTAGCAATATCTTTTTTATAGAATGGAATCCAGGCAGGAATACCGTAATCTATAAAAGGCCTAACTACAGCTACTTACAACCTCAAAATTATATCTTTATCGTGACATTTAACGATACGTCTCACAAAACCTAACATGCGGTTGCTTTTAGACCTAATATATGAAGTTTATTTAAAAGAATTGTATGACTAACTTTATCGAAGGCCTTGCGCCAATCGAGAAATATCGCATCAATATGAGGCGGCGAACGTTCATCAAGTATTTTAGACCAATCAGTTACTACGTCAGTTAACAACGTAGTACATGACCTGCCATTGAGAAAACCATGCTGGCTATCTGGGAGAAGTTTGTTGTCATTAAGAAAAAACAAAAATTTATGAGCGACAATTCTCTCAAGCAATTTACCAATAGTAGAACATAACTTCATTATTATGAAGGTGGATATTGTTGTTACTGAAAAGTAATAGTGGTTAAAATAATTGTTACTCATATTTTTATCCTAATTTCACATATTGCATGAACAATCCATCTTTTAATTTTTTTGTGTAATTAAATAATACAAAATTTTAGCTTTAATAAAAACATATTTTTTCCCTATCAATATTGATTTATGCACAATGGAAATTAATATAAACATGTTCAGTTTAAGTGAAAGAAATACATATTTACGCATGGTGTTTGTCAAGGTATGAAAAGAGCAGCTATCGAATTTCAACTACTCTCACCACTGGGGCCTATGACTTTATATCCCCCTTCTGCAGTTGCAGCCTCACTCTTGACAACCAGGTCTTCCAATTTGCCTTGCAGGTACTCATCAACCATTTCGGATTGCCTACTCCGCATCCTTCGCTCTGAAGCTACTGTTCCTGGTTGTAGATACCCTTTAATAACATGAATTAAATTTGTAACTTTTGGTTTTAAAACCAAATTCTAGTAATATGTTATTAACTAATTGCATTTATACCTTTTTAGTTTGCGGAGTTGCTGCCAAGCAGGATCACAGTCAACCTTGATAGCCAGTGACCTGTCAACATCAACTATGGATGGAGTTGCAGATGCAGAGATTTCGTGTGCTAATTGATTGTTGCTATCCCCATGTGATATCACCTCGCGTAAAGATGACATTTCCTGTGTACGTCGTTGAAGACTCCTTTTGCACACATTGCTGCTGGATTTTGCTGCTTTTGTGATTACAGCAATCTTCACTGGCTGAAATATTGTAATCACACAATTTAAATACAGTTTTCAAAGTGCTACTGCATTACAAATGCAATTAATAAAATATTTTCTAATGCTGTAATTATGTTAAAGAATGTTAAATTAAATTTGTTTAGTATAAAATAATTAAACCCTAACCCTTCCTCTAGTTTGGATTTCAACCTCTTTGCACTGCTTGAGAGATCGATACACCACTTTATTAGCCAACTGTTGAACTTCAACTGGTATAGCATTTTGATTTTCCTCAATTTCTTGTGCAATTGTGGTGATTGCACTGGATATTCTATTGTATTGTTGTTCAGCTGGTGTAGAGCACTTATGTTGATGGCAGTCATCAAATTTTAGGGTTTCACCGCATGATTTACATAACAGTTGCACAGATTTCAATGAGTTCTGAACAATCATGGATGGTGTTTTCACATCAGATACATTCACAGGACACCTGCAGACAAAACAAGGGCATTGTCGGTCTCGAAGTGTGCCAAACAGTTTTGATAGTTTCTACATTTTCTACTGACATAATACGCAGACAAATGGCACATTCAAATAATGATAACGATGATTGATCTTTGATTGTAAATTGTTGATTCAATGCATTGTGCTGTAAATGCTTAGAACAAATGATGGGTTTCATTCTGTAACCTGTTTTTTTGTTGTTCTTTGAATAAATAACATGAAAGGCACAGGGTTCGTACGGGTTTTGGAAAGTCATGAAAAGTTATGGAAATTTGTTTAGGTAATTTCCAGGACCTTAAAAGTTATGGAAAAATTATTTGGTTATGGAAAAGTTATGGAAATATGTAGAATGTGACAAATAAAATAAATAGTATGTCAAACATTTGTGTTGAGTTTTATTTTTAAAAAAACAAATCATTTTCTCAGAATTTAGGACGATTTCCGACCGACTGTCAATTTCCTCTGTGCGCCGCGGCACACTGTAGTCTGTACTGATTTTTGTTAATAAACTGTCCTGGTTGACTGAACCTTGGCTTTGCTGCGCATGTGCAATTGTAGTTGGAAAAAAATTAGCAAACAAAAACTAATGCAGGAGTGCTTGGTGTGACGACGAACGAAGCATGTTGTGTAACATGCGGTTGGATGATGAAAGTCGGCGGCTGATGGTTGAAAAGTATCGAATATGCCTGGAAAGTGTGTTTTTAACGATTTATGGCTTCGGAAAGAACATTACAAAGGTTGGCTTGCAAATTCGGGAACAAACGATCGTCATACAGCACAATGTATGTTATGTTCGAAAACCTTCGATATTGGCAACATGAGAGAAGCCGCTGTTGTTAGCCATATGAAAGGGAAGAAGCATCATAATTTAGTGTCTACTGGAAGCTATTAAATTATATAATTATATTGAATTGGAATAACCAAATATTAGACAAGCTAGCTAGGGGCCTAAGTCAGGCCTAGAGAGGTAGCCTAGGCTAGGCTCAAACATGCTAGGCCTTGCCGGCACCGACGTCCCGCCGACTGACTGCAGTGCTTCTAAGCTTAGCTTAAGCCTACTAGTACTAGAGCTAGACCGGTTTTGGAAATTCAACATTTTGGCTCTGGAAAACTCTTGGAAAAGTTTTGGAATTTTCCCAAGTTCAAAGTGTATGAACCCTGAAGACATGATATTTCTTAGATGTTGTCTCCATACGTATGGTGTCAGAGCGGTATGTTTGTATGAAGCTGTTTGTTTGATATGTGGTATAGAGGGTGAATGATGCTGTCTTCCTTCTAGTGAGAGATCGATACCAAGATGATTTAGAATTTCTGGTTTTATAGTTGATAATGAGTACTTCCTAGTTTTAAATTTTGTGCCACATATTCAGCAAATATTTAATAATGATTGCTTGTGATTGTCCATAATTATTAAACGACAACAAAATAAACGACACCACCATTAGTTAGTGTGTTAACACTGTATATTGCCCAGGCCTATACTTTATACAGTGTAACTCGAGCCTAGGCCTAGATGTCGGCGAAATCGTTGATGAAAATTTCTCTTTGTAAAGTAATTATAAATAAATATACGCAGCTTTTACGTCAAAACAAAATTTTGGTATATAGTAAAATGAAAGTTGCTCTAGAAGTATGAAGTGACTAGGATCTCGCACAATCAGACGATAAGTTTGATGCTGATTAGCACTTCTTGTTCGTAAATAGTGAGGGCGCTATTTGTTTACAGTGCCGTCGTTAGCGATCGTCGAAAAGGCTGTATTATTTTCGGTAAAAACTTAACAAAACTATCATTTTTTGCACTCTGATTTCAATAGCCGGTACAAAATTTATATAAATATCTGTAACTTTGATCATTTGCAGTAATAACAAATATTACGGCATGTATGTTTGATTTACTACATGAATATTATCACAGCCCCCACATTCCCTCGCTCGCTCGCACTTGCTATACATTTCTATCAAGCGCGGCTGGAAAAACAGAAGAGAGGCTTTCGACAGTGTGAATAAGAAACATCGCGTTGAAAACATACATAATGTCGCAGTTCCCTATTTATGAAACCACTGTGGGGCAGCAATAACAGAAAAATTGTTACAGAATTTTCTGTAATATCTAGCCATACCAATTAAAGCGCATCAATTGCTTTTTACCATTAGGTGCAGGGAATTCAGAAATAGCCTGGACCTTAGCTTCAACAGGTTTAACCTGCCCCTGCCCAACAACATGTTCCAACAATGTTACAGAAGCATGGCAGAATTAAATTTTAACTAAATTAACAGTAAAATTTGCTTCTGCGAGCTTGTCGAAAATGTCCTTGGTCTGTAGATGGTCTTCCCAGCTTTCCGTGTAAATAATAACATCGTCAATATAAGCGACGCATCCGTCAATTCCCGCTATAATCATATTGACCATTCGCTGAAATGTAGCAGGCGAATTTTTCATGCCAAATGGCATTACCTTGTACTGGTAGAACCCATGTGGTGTTACGAATGCTGATATTTCTTTCACTCTGTCAATTAAAGGTATCTGCCAAAATCCTTTTAACAAGTCAAATTTTGTAACATATCGTGTATTTCCGATTTTGTCGATGCAATCATCAATTCTAGGTAGTGGGTAAGAGTCAGTTTTTGTGGCAGTACTTACCTTTTGGTAATCTGTGCACATTCTGTAGGTCTTGTCTGGTTGTTACTTTCAATAAAGTCATTGTCGAGTAAAAATTTGATTTCATTTCATGTATGTTTAATGGGATACAACCTGTATGGGTGTTGCTTCATAGGCATGGCATCACCAACATCAACATCATGGTATATCAAGTTTGTGCGTGTTTGAACGTGCGAAAATAAATGTTCATATCCACAAATAAGTTGTTTAATAAGGTCATTTCTCTGTTCTTCATTCAAATGTGAAAGCTTCTGGTCAATATTGTTCATTATATAAGAGATTTGCAACTTTGCTAAACCAAAATCAGTTTTATTAATATATTCATCAATAGGTATCACAAGTGATTTTTTTCTTATGTCTAGATATGTCTAATTCTATTTTATTCATAAAGAGACAAAAAAAATAAAAATAAATAAATAAAATACTTTTTATTTGAAGCAAATCGGCTGAATATTTTTCATTTTATGAACAATTTTGTATTTTACTGAGATGAGGGAATTTTCTTATACTTTGACTCATCACATAAACTAAATAAATGAGAATTTGTACTACACTTCCCCAATGCAATAGTAAAACATGGGCTTAGGACTACTGGCACCTATTTATATACATCCCCTACCAAACCTCCTCCCCCACGCAACAGTAAAATTGGGTTCAGGACTGGCACTTGTTCATCTCCTACCTCCTCCCCTACCCCTGCTTGTGTGATAATCAAATTTGGCTCTAGATGGGAATTATTCACCCACACCCCCCCCCCCACCCGTGCGACAGTAGAATTGGGCTCTGTACTGGCACCTGTTTATATACTATGTACAACTTCCAAGACATTTATCTTTCTTTTGATATAAATTTTATTGAAAACAGTTAAGAATAATGGTAAGAAAAATAAAATTGAAAAAGAGCAATTTTCATTAATATAACCTCATTTCCAACAGTAAGCACGTGGCTGTTGGCATACCTAGTGTCAAGCAATTCCTCAGTATTCAAACATAATGTAGATTGTACCGAACAAAGAGGCCGGGTGATATGTTCATCCCGGTCAATAATTTAAACATATTAATATGACAAAGTTGTTTATTCTTTCGCCTACCAGGTGTATCTATCACATAATTTATGTCATTTACCTTCTTATCTATGGTGTATGGACCATAATACCTGGCTTGTAACGGCTTCCCAGGAATAGGAAGGAGAGCGAGAACTTTGTCACCAATCTCAAAGTTTCGTTCTTCTGCGTTAATATCATATCTGCTCTTCATTTTCATTTGAGCAGCTTGCAGATTAGACCTAGCTACATTAATAATTTATGTTTAAAATCAGGTACATATTGTAATATATTCACTGGATTTTCTTCCACAGAGAGCAAGTTTTCTTTAAGTAGTTTAAGCGGTCCACAAACTGTGTGGCCGAATACAAGTTCAAATGGGCTAAAGCCAAGGGAGTCTTGGACAGATTCCCTTGCTGCGAAAAGCAATAGGTGTATGCCCTCATCCCAGTCATTGTTAGTGTCGAAGCAATATGTTCTTATCACATTTTTCAATGTATGGTGAAATCTTTCTAATGCCCCCTGGCTTTCAGGTTGATAGCAGAAGATTTAAATTGTGTAATTTTTAATTCATGCATTACTTGTTGGAAAATGTTAAACATAAAATTAAATCCCTGGTCTGACTGCACAGACTTGGGGAGGCCCACCAATGTGAAGAACTTTATCAAAGCTTTCACGATTGTTTTAGTTTTAATATTCCTTAAAGGAATAGCTTCGGGAAATCTAGTCGAAGCGCACATAATGGTTAATGTATACTGATTGCCTGCTTTGGTTTTAGGTAATGGACCGACACAGTCAATATTATTCTACTGAAATGTTCATCAAATACAGGTATAGGTTTAAGATGGGCTTTAGGGATTTTTTGATTTGGTTTTCCAACCATTTGTCATGTATGGCATGATTTACAAAAAGTTGACACATCTTTCTTAAGATTTGGCCAATAAAAATGATTTAGTATTTTGTGATAGGTTTTACTAACACCTAAATGTCCAGATAAAGACGTTTCATGGGCCAAACTAAGTATTTCTGGACAGTATAGTGGTGGGACCACTATTTGATAATTAACAGTCCATTCGTCATCAGCTGGGACATCAATCAACTGGTCTCCATTTTCTCATTAACTCACACAAGTCTCTATACTTAACAACAGAGCACACAAAACACAGACAAGCCAGCTTTAAATTCTAAATTTGATCAATTTATTTTCTTCAAACATCATTAAGTTATACATCAATCAAAAGCTTACTAAATTAAATTTCCAAAAATGCATATGCAAATTAAAATAGCGTATCCAGTTACAATTTATGCTAATTTGCATTCATGAATATTAATTAGGACAGTAATAAAAATCATGTATTTTCAAATATTGTACCATCAAAATCACATTTTCTATTATATTCAATACTTTAAAAGACATACTATGTAAGAACAAGTATCTACAAACATTGATCCAAGTGTAGTAAGAGATAGCATGAATATTTATATTTTTAAAAAATAATTTAGATATTTAATATTTTAAACATAAAAGTTTGCCAAATATGCTGAAAATCAAAATTACAATAGTGCTCCCTAGCACATTTGAATTATATGTATTAATAAATAAGTTCAAAAAAAACCATTTTAGTTGAAAATGGGGAAAAAATATTTTAATTAATTTAATAAATTATTTATATTAATTA